CGCCTGAGGATTCTGAGAGCTGACTGAGAGCAACTTCCCCCTCAAGCCCAGAGGGCACATTAATTAAACTCCCATCTCTGCAGCCTGGCACACCTGTGCATCCCAGACCTTCACAGGTGCTTGGATGTGACCAGAGCAGGCAACACAAATCCACCGCACCTACGCTAAACCGCACACAGTGGAAATCCTTCCAAAATTCATCTATTTTTAGCATACTAAAGAATTGTTTTTATTACTTCTTTATAGCTTATGTTTATATTACTTCTTTAATTGAGACTCCTAATACAGTCCGATCGATCAATGTATACATCGCTGTGTAAATATGCCTATGAAGCAAACTTTGGGAAAGCCACTTAAAAACAGGAGAAGGTAACTTGTGACTTTGTAAACCAAACATTTCAGAGAATATTGACGTTGATGTTTAAATAGTAAAGTACTCCACTGAAGAAGAGATTTCGAACAAAGACCTGAAAATAGAGTACCTGATATTTATGTTGAGTGTATAATTCACAATTGAAAAAAATTAATTGGCATTTTAGATTATTAAGAAAACTCTGAAATGAGCCATGGGTTTTGTATGATGGTCTTTTTGCCTGGCAAATATCATTTACAAGATGAAGAATGAATCCTGGCTTTTAAAAATGGGTCTGTGTCCATTTATAGAACATGCCCCATGGTCTGATCATTTTGGTTACTGGGTCCTCCTCTGTTAAGACCTCCCATGATGAGTGTGAAAGGGGCACACAGGTGGGGTCACGGGCTGCAGAGGTTTGTCTCCCTGAGGTCCCCCTCCCCTGAGACACCTGACTTCTCTCTCTCTCTGGAGCACACCCTATTTACTCTCCCCAAGAACCTTCTTTTCTGAGTCTTTGCCTGGCCTGCAATTTCTCTCCATTTAGATGTCAATTTAAATGTTCCTTTTTGAAGAAACCAATGTCTGACCTCTCTTACTTATACCCTGTTTGTTTTTTATTTCAGTCCTTGTTTATTTTTTAATAGTAGTTTACAGAACTTACAATTATTTTATCTAATTACCAACATATTGATTTATTTGTGTCTATTTCCCTAAATAGAATGTAGGCTTCACGAAAGCAAGACGCATTTCTGTCTAGTTTCCATTTATAACTAGTGTTTATAACACAGTAGACTCTCGGTACATAATTTTATTTCACTCAATAAACAGAAGGCATAAAAGCTATTGTCCTGCCTACCTGGGCTGGACTGCTGTCTTTTTCAGTTTTTCTTTTAAACCCCCACACAGGACAATTGTGTTGGTTCCATGAAGAAAAGGAAAGCCACTTTTTTTCATCTAATAGAGAGAGTAGCCCACAGCTACTGGATTTAGAATCATGGGACTCCTGAAAGGCAACTTTGAAATGTCCATCTCAGGCCCATTCGCAGAGTTAAACAGATGGGTAGAAATGGGCAGTGCCTTGAACTCGAGCTTCTTAGAGCCCTAACGAGAACTTGACTGCACTTCTTAAATTATCCAACAAACACATAACAAAAGCAGGGAAAAGCATTAACATGCATGTGAGTGAACGTGTGTGAGTACGTGTGTGTGTCTGTGTTAGCACTGTTTCACGTAACAGCTGACCGTTACCTTGCTCCTAATGCGCTGGGATATCCGTGCCTCTATCGATACCCCTGGCCCTGCTGAAGCGTGAGTGGAATCTTTCCGTGCAGATGAGGTTATACTGAACACCCTTCTGTTTGATTCTCCTCCCATGGAAATCAGCCATCCTTTTGGATACTCTTTAAGAAAGATTTGTTTTTTTTTTTAAAAGATTGGCACCTGGGCTAACAACTGTTGCCAATCTTTTTTTTTTTCTGCTTTATCTCCCCAACCCCCCCCCACCCCGTACACAGTTGTACATCTTAGTTGCATGTCCTTCTAGTTGTGGGATGTGGGACGCTGCCTCATCGTGGCCTGACGAGTGGTGCCATGTCCGCGCCCAGGATCCGAGCCCTAGGCCGCCGCAGTGGAGCGCACGAGCTTAACCACTCAGCCACGGAGTCGGCCCCAAGAAAGATTTTATTAGCAGTTATATTTGATGTATTAGAGGACTCATTTCTCCAACAGAGTTTATTGCATTTCAAAGAATTCAAGAATGGGAACAGACTGTGGATTTCATTCTCAAAGAGAGTGATAAAGAAGAAAGGCAGTTGCTGATTGACATACAGTCTGGGATTCTCCGTTCTTTTTCTGAGCGTGGGTCTGTGAAGTAATTTTAGACTCAAATAACAACATTGCAAGGAGGCATCCCATGCACTATGCATGTCTGCTTGGCCATGGGGGCCTGGCTTTCAGGAAAAGGCTGTTTCATGGCCGTCAGCATGGGGTGGCCCTTGGGAGAGGCAGGCAGCCTTGCAGAGGGTTTGCCAGGTTGGCCCAGGGAGGAGCACAGTGAGGGAATGGAGAAAACGAGTGTGCATGTGTGTGCGTGTGATGTGTGCACGCGCTGTGTGATGTGTGTATGCACAAGCATGTATGGAAATGTGCACGTGAATGTGTGTATGTATGCACGTGTGCACGAGATGTGTGCATGTGATATGTATACATGTGTGGTGTGTATGTGCATGTGTGTGCACATATGCGTGTGTGACATGTGTGGTATGTTTTGGCATGTGTGACTATGTATGTGTGTGAGTGCATTGCACTCATGTATGTATGTGGGGGGGTGTGCATCTGTGTGTGAGTGTGTGTACATGCGTGTGCATCTGTACGTGTGTGAGCGTGCGGTAGAAAGAGAGAAGGAGAGACACGCTGGTCTGACCAGGCTTTCTGTCCTTACAGATGATGGTAGAGTTTTCTAAGCATCTAGTTTTCAAATAGTGTGTGATGACATTGCAGAAGCAAGCAATAGTGACAGACGTGCGTTTCTAGCCCTGAAGGATGCTCCTTCATGACGCACTTTTCCATACTGGTGTGAATGCTCTTTTCCTTTGGACAATTGGAGAGTTTTTCCCCTGAAGTCTGGTACTACATAGAAGATTTCAACAATGAGATATTCTACTGAAAAGAGGCAGAAAAGCAACTAGGAAACACCTTTCTAGAACATGCAACTATTGTCTTTTTGCTCTATTGCAAATTCCAAAATTGTGCCTTAAAAGCCCTTTTCCTTTTGCAAATGATCCTCAGCACTTTGAATTTCATTAACATAATTGTGCTTGTAATGCTAATAGGTCTGGAATAAATCCTTATGTTGAGAGTTTCTCCTAATTTTCCTAGCTGTTCCATGTTATAATATAACTTCATCTAAAGCAGCACCAGAAAACTCATTCTATAATTGGTGAATTATGCCTGATTTTGTATAAACAAAACTTATATGTCTGAATTGAGGTATAAAGGCTATGTGTCAAAAGATGGCATTGAGCTAATGAGAATACTCAACTTCAACAGCTTGTTTCCTCTTAGATATTATCAATATATCATAGGTGTAATTCCCTATAATGTTCAGATGTGTTAGAAATAAAATGAAATCTCTTTAATTTTTGCACTCACCGCTTATAAAGTCCTACTGATGCAGGCTCGGAGAGTTGAGGAGTCCCAAGAAAGATTTCTTGGACTCTCAAGGTCTGGCAGTATGCTCTTTTATTCAGAGAATAGCACGGAGTAGCATGGGGACAGGACCTATGGGCAGTGAAGAGCTGCAATGTGTTGAGGGTTAGGGCTAAATTTATAAGGTATGCAAGTTATTTCTTTACAAGACAAAGGAAAGATGGTGTAAAAAGTCATTAAATGGTATCAGTGCAGGTGGGGTCTGGTTATTGCGTGGTCGTGTAACTTTAGATATGTGTTGGGTCATATAGATGGGCCATATAGGGTGCCCTGGGCTTTTCTCCCTGGGGCAGCCCTCATTCACACCATAAAATCCATTGGTTCATATAGATCGGCATGTAGGCCAGGGCACCTTGGGCTTCTCTACCTGGGGCAGCCTTGGTCTACATCACTAGCACATGAATTAGCTTGACTTTCCCCTGATCTTGATGAGCAGACAGCACTCCTCTCAACCTCACAGGGTAGACACCAGAGAGATGTTGGAGCAGTTGGGAAGTTACACAAGGCCTGTTGGGGATGACAGACAGAGTCAGGGTGGAGGCTGGTTTTCAGGGACAGCCCTGTCCCTTCCTTAGAGAGTGTGTCCTCCACTCCCACTCTGGGAGGGCTTAGTCTACCTCCAGCTTCCTCCTTTTGCTGGGCCCTGGAGGATCCAGCACCAGCGATCATCTCGAGATGCTCAAAGGCCTTTGCTTTGGTGTATCTTCTGACTTCTGTTTTCTGGCTCACAATCTCTCTACAGCTACTCATCTGACTCTCATCCAGAGACATTATACAATCGCAAATATAAAAATGATGAAAACAAGGGATGCTGAAATGTGAAATTAAGGACATTTTAACCTGCTAATTACAGTCAGGGTTTAACCAGAGTATCCTGTTGCCAACTGCATAGTATCTTTATTATATTGAGTAAATAAATGAATTTATAACATGATTGTATTGGTAGTAATTGCTCGATGACTAATTGTTCCTTGAACAATTAATTGACCAAATCAGAACATAGCACATATTTCCTAGTCAGAAGCACTTAGAGTAGAGTGCTAGTATAATTAACTCTTAAATTAAAAGAGAATTAGGTCGACGTTCACTTGACATTCTTTATAGGCACTTTTTATTATCATCTGTTTTACCTTTTCTTTAAATTCAATTCACCTCATATACTTTCTTTCCAAGGTAAACATTGTCAAATTTGTGATTGACGTGTGCTGTGTTACTTCTAAAGCACGCAGCCAGTGTTTGTTAAATGCAAGTTGTTATAATTCTATTGCTATTAATTATTGTTTCCCTTAATCAGGATGGTAACTGGCAACTTGGAAAAGACATTTTTTAAAACATATCAGAAAAGGTCATCTGAAGCAGCTGTATGTAATCAAATTCATCTAAATTCCAGACTGACTCGCTTTTTTATGTAGGAGCTTGATTCTGTCGTCTGTTTCAGCCTATGAGCTACAGAACTGCCCAGATCCACCTCCTTTCCAGAATGGGTATATGATCAACGCAGATTACAGCGTGGGACAATCCATATCGTTTGAGTGTTATCCTGGGTACATTTTAATCGGCCACCCAGTCCTCACCTGTCAGCATGGAATCAACAGAAACTGGAACTATCCTTTTCCAAGATGTGATGGTAGGTTAATCCTTCCTCTTGGGAACAATTTAATTTTTCATGTATATTATAGTGCATCATATATTAAATGAACGTATTCAAAAATTCATTAATTTGTTCAACAAATTTTTATTGGGAATCTATGATGTTAAACTCACTCTACGTAGCATTTCAGGAATGCATCATATGCCAGTAAGTTAAAAGAGATGAATAAATAGGCCTTGTCCACAAGGAAATTGTAAGGATAACAAAATAATACACACAAATATTTATAATGCAAAACCAGGCACGAAGGGCCTGTTTTGATGAATTGAGGTTACAAAGGATGGCGTTTGCTTGGAAAGCAATGGGGAAATCTTTGTGATGACAGCACTATTTAGCTTTACAGTAGTTCCATCAAACGGTGAGGTTAGAGAGGGAGAAAGAGTACTTATTAGTTTTGCCCTAGATGTATTTTATTGTTTGACTTTTACAATAATCATGTATTGCTTTTGTATGTCGGAAAACAGATTTCGTTTTTGTAGTGGGCCTGGAAGGAAACAGAGTATTTTGCTACTCGGAGATAGAGAACACCCCGGGTGGAAGAGCTAGTGTAAGAAAAGACAGAGTGTGGAAACAGTCGTAGGAGAAAGTGAAGCAGCCGCCGTCGAATACTGATGGGGATCAGGGTTTCTCGGGAGACGTTGGACTCGGCTGATGGGGAAGGGTAATGCAGAAGATCTGGATTCACTGGCTGTCTCTGGCTTGAGCAGGAATCGCTTCTCTAAAGATTCTGTATGGCTACCTAACTTTTATGATGACGCCGAAATTTTTGCAATATCAAGTACAAAGGAATGGGTCAAGTACTTTGTTTACGAAGAATGCATATGACACGGAAAAGTTACTGTAAACCTAATATTCTAACATTATAAATACAGTAGCTTTGAATGAAAAATAAAGAAATTGTCAACTCTGTGGCTCTTTGAAATGCTAAATACTTATATCCTAGGGGGAAAAGGGAAAGACATCTAGCTGTGTTGGAATTTCTACTGAAGAATTAAAAAAAAGCACATCAGTGTACTTTTTAAATCATATTTTTTACCTGTATTTTTCCATTCTATATCATTATAAATACAACTATAACAAAACCTTTAGCTATATTTTTGAAAAGTCTTTACCTTAGTCTAGCATTAATTCAATAACATATAAAACAGCATTTAAAAAATATTTTATAAAACTAAGTATAGCAGTAACATATCTGGTATTTTTCCGTTAAAACACTTTTAAAAAACTGTTTCATACTACTCTCCATTTAAAAAATCATATGTTTATATGTATAAATTACTTTGAATTGTCAAGATTAAACCCTTTTCTTTGTTTTTGAAGAAGGCTGGCCCTGAGCTAACATCTGTGCCCATTTTCCTCTACTTTATGTGTGGGATGCCTACCACAGCATGGCATGATGAGTGGTGCGTAGGTCTGCGCCCAGGATTTGAACCCACGAATCTTGTGCCCCCAAAGCAGAGTGTGAGAACTTAACTGCTATGCCACCAGGCCAGCCCCTAAATCCTTTCCTTATTTGCAATTTTTGCCTGAATCCTTTGAATTCTTATGTAAATGGAGGCTTCTTGATGTAAAAAAATATAATTAAATATTTAATTAGATTTTGTTGTTTTTTTCAAGCCCGGTTTTCCAACATGGAAATAACTGCTGGCTTAGAATTATTTTGTCAGTGTGAAAATCACAAACTATATTGTTTCTGATATAGCTTAAAGGTGATGCCATCTTTTGTCATTACATCATGACATAACACCCCCTGCAGAAGGTCCTCCAGACAGCCAAGCTGGCCAAGACTCCTGACACCAGCTGAAAGTTCACAGGTTGCCCCCCGAACGCCCCTGAGGTTGGGTAATTGACTAGAAGGACTCCCAGAACTCACGAGCTGTTATGCTCACAGCTGTGGTTCATGACTAGGAAAGGACACATTCAGATCATCTGTGGGAAAAGAGGCGTAGCGTGAAATGTAGGGGGATGCCGCACCCTCTCAGAGCTGATGTGTGGCAATGTGCACAGAATGTCACCAACCTGGGAACTTCACCTGGGCCTTAGTGTCCAGAAATTTTACTGGGACTCTGTTATGTAGGCATGACTGATTATTGACTGTCCATTGGTTGATATCAGCTTCCAGACCCACTGATATCCTGTCACCCAAAAGCCCACCCTAAATGACATGGCTGGTCTTCCAGGCCAGCCTGACCCTGAGACCCTTGGGTGTAGCCAGCCTTCACTTGAAAGGAAGACATTTTTATCAGTCATGCCAGAAATTATCTCCCAGAATCCAGGACAGGTGCCAGCCCTCCCTTCGGGCAAGGCCAAATTCTTTACTAGGCAAATATTTTTACCATTATATTTCTCTTTGTGCAGATAATGTCATAAACAGAGTAAAAAACCAAAACATAAGATTCGTGTAAAATTATATCAAAAGCAAATTTTCTAAACACCATGTAATGTGTATTCAATATCTTCCATATTGGACTAAATTAAAAAAAAAAAAAAAAAGCAGAGGGTATCACTTCAAAACAAGTTATTTTATCTGTGAAAGGGTGTATTTCAAAAGAAATATGTAGTAAAAAGAGTCCTTGTTTCCTGAGAATGAAGGGGCTGCTCAGGTGTCTACTAGTGTCCGCTTAGACTAGAGTTAATGCCCTCACAAACTCTGCTGATTACCCAGGAGCCTCACCTGAAATGTATTTATTAATCCAGAGTGGTTTATCGTTTCAGATTGATGTTGGTATACAGGGCAAATGATTGAAAAAATCTTCAAAGGTCCAGCCCCATAGACTTCAGAAGAATCTCAGAAAAAACATAGATACTTTGAACAACTTCTGGCATCTCTGTTAAAGATTGAACAATTTGGACAATTAAGATTCAAGAATTCTAAATCTTAAGGCATTGATCTTCACAAGTATATGTTAAACCAGTTTGTATGTATATGCTGAAAGTATGTTAAGTTGCATAAGAATCTATTCTATAAAATTGGTATGTTTTAACTTATCTGAAAAAATCAGGACTAAAAGTATGATATCTATTAAAATAAAAGGAAGAGTATGTCTGAAAGTGACTTAAGAAATTCAAGACAGTATCATTTTTACCAGCAACTTATAATTGTACAGAAGTCTCAGTTAAATAAAAAAGAGTTATAATTGTGAAAATATGGTTAAGAAGACTGTGGTTTATTAATTTACTAAATGTAATTTGATAATTAAATATGCCTTTACACTTACAAATATAGTTCAAAAATTTAAAATATTTTGTTGACTTAATTAAGCCTTTATCACTGAAATATTTATGTAGATATACTTTTAAGGTCTTTTTTTAAGTTTAAACACTGTCATAATGCACCTCAGTTTAAAATGCATTAATATGTGTGATGAGGAACTATGTGGACAGAGGTCATTATTAGGGTAACTTAGTATGTTGCAATAGTGTGTTAGCAGCATCTTTTAGATTGCCAGATTTTGTAAGCAGAAAGCTTTTTGATTGCATAACTGACATGAGAAATCCACCCAGCCAAAAAATATATTATACACATATCTTTTAAGTTAAAGTTTACCACTTCGATTGATAAATACAGAAAATAAACTTTCCCAATAGTATAGAATAAAAAGGACACTATAAAGAATACAACTGTCTCTTTTTCTTACCTGTCTTCATAAATATTATTTTTTAAAATTTTCATTATCAAACACCAATTCCTAAGACAAAGCGCACTGTGTCTCTCAACCTCAAAACCATCGTAAGGAAACCAGAGTCAGTGAATGAAAAAATAGGTCAGAAATACCTATGGTGCTCCACACATTCGCTGAGATTAAGCATTCAGTGCCTGGATACAGAAATAGTCAAGAGTTTAAAATTCATACATATTCATGCCAAATGTATGTATTGGTTGTTTACTACTGTAAATTTTTTCTTCATACTCTTAAAGTTTAGGCAGAAATCTTAACATAATCCTAGAGAAAACCATCTCTAAGTTTGTAACTCTCTTAGCATACATGTAGAGTTTTTAAAATTTATTTTTTTATTTAATATCACTTAATATGCTCTGTCTTTCTATCCATCTCAATCCGGGGAAAATCACATCATACGTGTGTAAGTGAGAGGAAAAGGTAATACAATAAAGGGATGTCTCAGGACCCCTTGAGCTTTCCAAATCTAGCCCCAGATAAAATGACGTGATGGTGTGGGTCACCACCTCTCTGTGCTGATGTCTGCCATGGCTGCCAGCTCATCTTCCAATATTATCTGGCTCTGGCTTCATATGACCGTGAGTTGGTCAGATACACCCATCACTTCTTTGTATGAGCCACCTAATAGATTCACCTTCCCAGAAAACAGTGAAGTAAACCTGTGAAGGGAATTCACAGTGGCTCTTCAGGTGGCAGTACAGAGCGTAGCTGGGCAGGGAATTAAGAACCAAGTGAAGACTGTTTAGGTGTAAACGGACACCGAGTACATTTGACGATGGGTGAAATATTCCTGTAAGGCGTCACCTCCATCATATTCAGTACAGCTAGTGCTGGCTCTGTAATTTGATGAAAATAGACAACTTAATCATTTTTATGTACTTATTTTTCTCTGGAGAAACACATATAGAAATAACTTGAGAATTTTCTCTCTTTGACTATGCTTTGCATACCAATCCTTTCTCCCAACCTAAACTTTCTTCTTAGCGTGCGTGTATATAAAGAGATCCATACAACAGCCACACTTCTGGCCACCAATGTATGCTTTTTTCCTACAACAAGCAATTCTGAGGCACTAGCTGGGTGTCCTACAATTGAACTCAATTCTGACACTATCCCCCAGTGATAGCTTCAGATCCCACAGGTTCAGGGCTTGGTCCCATAAGACTGCCCCCACTCACCCCATTTCAGATGCCAATCACAGGTCCAAGTTGTCACCTGTGCTTCTGATGGGCTATAAATGGGAGATTAACGTCAGCTCAGGTGTGGTTAAAAGGGGCTCATTATGAACAGCAAAAGACACCTTTATCTCTTTTATCACTTAGGAAACACAGGCTCTGAGGAGCTCTGAGCCAGGAACAGAGTAGAAGATCAAATATGTATTTCTTATTATAAATCGCAGTATCACAATGTATATTCAGGAATATGTAGATGAGTGTGCATTGCTTGCTCTTTGGCTCCCTGGAGTCACATCTATCAATGTGAAGTGCAGTGCAGTGTGCTGATGCTCTCTCTCCTGCCAGCTGCTTGCCTTCCTTGTCAGGCTGTGCCCAGTCTCCTAGGCAGACAGGTGAGGAGCTGGGAGGGACCTGTGGTTGGCTGTGGTGCACCGAGCCCTCCTGGAACCGGATGTTCCCTGCTGCAGGCTTCGAGATTGACCTCCACCTCAGGGTCCACATTGACCCCCACCTTCAGGCAGAGGATGGGGATGATGGACAGGCTTCATGCTGAGCCAGCTCACACATGTCCTGTCTCTGTACAGTTCAAGTGAGACACCTCCCAGACGTGGAAATCAGAGTTTGCCGTTGGTGTCACTACAGTGACAGTAAAGCCTTCTTTAGGATGAGAGATTGGACAGGCTAGGGGGAATGAGAAAGGAAACTTTGACTCACATTTTTAGGGTTCTCTTTTTTTCCCCTCTAGACTACATAGCAGGATTTTTCCTTGAGAAAATTTTACATGTGTGTTGATAGAACATGATCTCATGTGAGAAGTAGTATTGTTTTCCTTCATAGCGCTTACACAAGTTGAAGTTTATACCTGTGTAGTGTTTGTTTACCATCTTTCTTCATCACTGTCCAGTAAGCTCCACAGTGGCAGTGATGGGGTCCCTGTGGTTCTCTGCTGTGTCCCCAAATCTAACCACACTTCCAGGTACCTAACAGGCTCTCAGTAAACACTCACTGAATAAGTGAAGGAAAGAATTTAGTACTTGAATATCCTAGATACAGCATGGGAAGAATAGCTGACTTGGGGCCGGCCCAGTGGCTCAGTGGTTAAGTGCGCACGTTCTGCTTCTTGGCGGCCCTGGGTTCGTCGGTTTGGGTGACGGAAGTGGATATGGCCCTGCTTGGCAAAAGCCATGCTGTGGAAGGCATTCCACATATAAAGTAGAGGAAGATGGGCATGCATGTTAGCTCAGGGCCAGTCTTCCTCAGCAAAAAAAAAAAAAAAAAAAAAAAAGAGGAGGATTGACAGTAGTTAGCTCAAGGCTAATCTTCCTAAAGAAAAAAAAATAATAATAGCTGACTTGGTCAATGTCCTAGAGCTATTAAGTGACACAAAGAGTAGCAGAAGCCAGTTAGGTGTCCTACTGAGGAAAATCGCTGTGTCATTTCTTTGCCCCTTTAGGGGCTGGCCCTGTGGCCAAGTGGTTAAGTTCATATGCGCTACTTCGGCAGCCTGGGGTCTCACCGGTTGAGATCCTGGGCGCAGACATGGCACGGCTCTTCAGGCCATGCTGAGGCGGCATCCCACATAGCACAACCAGAGGCACTCAAAACTAGAATACACAACTACGTCCTGTGGGCTTTAGGGAGAAAAAGAAGAAAAAAAAAAAAAGAAGACTGGCAACAGTTAGTTCTGGTGCCAATCTTTAAAAGAAAAAAAAAAAAGAGGTGGGCACCATGCTTCTCTTTGTTTTGTTTTGATTTTCCCCAATGGGAAGGATGCAACAGTATATTATGTGGTTATAAATTAAAAGATTCAACTTGAAAAGTCAGAATGCACAAGGGAAATCTTAGAGTTATAAATCAACACCAAATGAATCACCTCAAATCACACATAAGCTATGTCAGCCCAATGGCTTCCATACACTTCTTATTAAAGTGTTTTCTGTTTACTGTCTCACTCATTTTCAATTCATCAGTTGTTTGTTGTCTATTGTGCATCATGGTCTGAGCTAGGCAATGAGGGTTAATGACAGGAGCTTGTGGGTGGGCTTGAGGAGGCACACAGTCCCTGATGTGGACAGACCATGGCCTCCAGAGCCCCAGTCAACAGGAGGAACTGTAAGAAGTCCGTGACGTTTGACTTGAGTTTGGAAGGGAGGAATAAATGCACCTGGTGGCAAGGTAGGAGAAAAGCATTTGAGCTTTTCGTGCAGGGTGAACAAGTGCATGGAGTTTGCTGGCGAGAAAAAGTACGACATGTCCTGGGGACACCGAGTAGCTTGTTGTGACTGCAGCTTTGTTCACGGCCCCATTTGACAGACTCTAAGTATGTGCACATTTTGCTTTGCCAGATTACAAACCAAGGTCTGTCTGACTTCAAGCCCTACTTATTGATAATTATGCTGTAAAACTTCTAAAATGTTCTCCATGGCCCCTTTTTCTAATGAATTTACCCAAAACACATGCAGTCTATCTTACACTGGTAACTTTTCCTCCTTTGAAATCAGGATACATTGTACCATTAATTCAGCAATGTATCATGTACTGTCTCGTGGTATTTCATCAGTCACTATTTTGAATTGTTATTGAATTTTTATCGTCTTTTAAATCTATTTTAGCTTATTCACTCCACCTAAATTCTACACCTTTGTGTCAAGTCTTTAAAAGTCCCAGAAGATTCATGCTAGTAACAGCCATGTCACATCTATTAGCTTTGGGTTTGATTAAAAAGTCTACTTGTGTATGACTTTGACATATTATACCACTGTCTGAATTAAAGAACCCATCTCAGGTTGTTCTGCTAATATATGGTCACTTCATTTTTCCGTAAATAAAACAAAATAATTGCCGTGGCAACAGTGAATATCAATTTATTAAGTAAAATAGAAATAGACTAGGTACTGTGATTCTTCACATGGTTGAAAGCTGGTGAGATATGGAAATACTTCAAAAAAACACCACTTGCCTGATTTTATCTCATTTCTTGAGGACTAGATCTGCGAAGAATTGATAATGGCTTTGTTTCAAGGCAAATAGGCTTAGATGCTACTCTTTCAGAAAGTTTAAATAGGCTTTAGAAATTTCAAAAAAAAAAAAATTTCAGTTATATGTATAAATTCCACATAATCTTTTGCATCGAATTGCCCAATGTATTATCAATTCATCCCTGGAGATAAGCGACTAAGGATTTTTCTTTTTTTTAATAATATGGGAATGGCTTTCTCCTGAAGGGATTTTGAATGTTTGGAGAATATTTAAACGAAACTTAGATAACTTCGCTTAGAAATATAATTTTTCCAAGGTTTTGAGACTTTAGGGGAATTATTTTGACAAAGTGGTTATTGAGAAATATTTCACAATTATTTCTCATAAGGGAAAATTTTGGCTAAGGGACTTCAGAGACTTCGAAATCTTTAACTGTATCCTTTCCAAAGCTAACTGTATTGAGCTTAATTATTCCTGGCTTCCTTTTCAGCTCCTTGTGGATATAACGTAACGTCTCAGAACGGTACCATTTATTCCCCGGGATTTCCAGATGAGTACCCGATTTTGAAGGACTGCGTTTGGCTGATCACTGTGCCTCCTGGTCACGGAATCTACATCAACTTCACGTTGCTGCAGACGGAAGCTGTCAATGACTACATCGCTGTTTGGTATGAGGACTTTTCCGTACAAGCCAATCTGTCATTATGATAAGCCATTCTTGTAACCACTCACAGGTCACTTACACACCAGAGTATGCATTTAGAAAAGAAGTAGGTAGGTAGGTATTGGAAAGGAAATTTACCAACTACATCATCCAGAGATGTAGAGAATAATCGTCATGGAACATGTTTGAGTCTTGCTACATGGTAGATATATCGAGGATTGCTCTGAATATAGGAGACTATCCCAAGATTAGTTTATTTTGCATTTTTAAGTGTGATGTTTTTCTTAAAAGCTGGTAGGATCCTTTGCTGTTATAAGAATTTGAGGCTTCTAGAAATATTGAAGAAATGATTACACATAGCCTTCCCTCTATCCTTTGTGAACAGTGCATAACTGGCCTTCCATGCAATTGTAGGAAATACTGAGCCCACAACAGGGGCTCCGGCTCCCTTCCTAAGGTGTTATGTGACCTTAGATAAGCTACTTACTCTATCCTTGACCAAATTTTCATATCTATGGGAATGACTATCCCTACCTGCCTTTGGAGTTGTGAGTTTATGGAGGAAACAGGGAATGACAAGTTCCCTGTGACACTTTGATAGGAGAAGTAGAATATAGGTACCATTGGTGCACAAGGAGGGAGCACAGCCCAGATTTGAAGAGCCAGGATGTGCTGTAGGCATAGACTGCCTTGAAAACTAAAGGAGTAATTGCAGTTAACACTGCAGAATGCGTGTGTGTGCATCTGTTTGTGTCTGTGTGTGTGTGTGTGTGTGTGTGCATGTATGTTGGTGAAGTTGTTGTCAAGGTACAGGTTGACCTGGTTATAGGAAGTCTGTAAGGCAGGAGGACAGGGAGAGTCAAGGGACTGGAGGTTATCAGGTGTGGCGGATGTCCCGTGAGAGCCCAGAGGGCCTGAGAAGAGCTGACCTGGGGAGGCAATCCCGGCAGATCATACAGGACCTTATAAATCATGGGAAGGATTTCAGGCTTCATTTTAAGACAATGAGGATTCACCTAAGGGTTTTAAGAAGGGGAATTATAAGAACAGATCCTGGCTGCAGAATACCCAGTCTCATTTTGTGGGAAATATGTTAGTGGAGGGCAAGAAGGGAGGCTGGCTTTTGAGGCTGTAGAAATAACTCTTGGAGGGGATGATAAAGACCCAAACCAGGGGCTGTGGGGATGGGGAGAAACAGAGAACTTGAAGTCTCAAGTTGACCCTAGGAAGCTGCCGTTTCAAAAGCAAAGCACAACAAACAAACAACAACAAAAATCACCAACCCTATCCTGTCAGCAATTTCACCCAGATTTAGAGGATTTAGAGGGTAGAAGCAAAAAATCTTCATCATTAAGAGAAGCAGAGTGAACTGTTGTCAAAACACTAATGAGAGACAGAAACCGAAAAGTCCATTCAACTTTGTGAATACTGAACATTTTGATATTTCTAAACACAGTATGCAGAAGAGACCAATACTTCATTCAGTTTTTTAAACTATTTTAATTCATTAGCAAAATTGCCATAAATCTCAGCCTAAATTAAATAGACTTGCTTGAATTTAGACTTTAAATTGTGGACTTTTGAAAGCAAGCTGCTCAATGGTATTGCAGTTACTAGAATCGACGTGTCTCTGAGTTCCTCTGCAAAGGTCGGCGATGCGAGGCGGCTCTGTGCTCCTAGGTTTGTGCGACAGCCCTGCCACCTGGAGCCCGCAGTCAGAGCATGCTGCTTTCTCCAACCTAGAGCCCGGCTGTCAGGAGAAAAGGGATTGTTAATTTAAGCTATAACTAGGGAATTTCTACTCAAACTGCTCTTTCTGTCTCCTAGGGATGGTCCTGATCAGAATTCTCCGCAGCTAGGAGTTTTCAGTGGAAACACAGCCCTGGAAACAGCATACAGTTCTAACAATCAAGTCCTGCTCAAGTTTCACAGCGACTTTTCCAACGGAGGTTTCTTCGTCCTCAATTTCCATGGTCAGTGTGTTTTCCCTCTGTTAATTAAGGCGAAACATTCCCTTTGATTTCCTCGTAGTGTTGACATACGCCTGCTTTCCAGCTAAGGCTCCTTGATTCTGCCAACCGAGCCTGATAGGATTTTCTTGCATTTGATGCCTGCGTTGCCTGTGATCCTTTTTGCTTAATGATATCCTTAGTATTTCACATTTTATGACGTTGTGTTTTGCCGTGAGCTTGGATTCATTCCAAGATGATGAGCTGGTAAATGAGACTCTGATATGGACCCAGGGAAATACATTTGTGTAGTAGCTTTCGTAGATTTCCTCATGTCTGTCTCCAGATGAATCTCGATAGCAAATGTCCTGTAATTATAGATGGGGCAAAAGCAAACCTCCAAGGATTTTGAGAATGAACACTAAATACTTTGGAAAAAAGTATATTGTCCCTTGTCACTCATGAGGACTACCAGCTGTAGAAGTCCTTGGAACAAGAGACAGACAGATCTTATCAAATCTAAATGTGGACATGGAACCAGGCAATGGAAGAACCATTTCTCTTGCAGAATTCCAAAAATATGTAAAGTGTTTTGTCATTTTTTCAATTGTGTACTTTTTCCCTCCGACTTTAATTCCTTGACATTAAATAATCCTGTGAGCCTTTGAAGCTTGAGAATTTTATAAAACGACTTACAAATATTAGACATTTCAGTGTACCTAAGCATTATAACAACAAAAGAAGAATGTGTTTTGTAATGTTTTTGTTTATTCAGCAAATGTAATTGCGGTTATTGTTTTTTTTCACAAACCATTCAGCATTTCAGCTCAAGAAATGTCAGCCTCCCCCAGCGGTTCCACAGGCAGAAATGCTGACTGAGGACGAGGATTTTGAAATAGGTAATGTTTTCTTCATTACCATTCTATTAGCTCAACCTGACTTTTACTCTCACCCCACCTACAATAGTTCCTCAGACAAGTCAGTGAGAGTTTGTTGGGAATATTCCCAGGCTTGCCTAGGGGGTTCTCATGGAGGTAAGGTGTCGAATGCATATGTTTTTCTTTCTTCATCTCCATGACTTTTGTTTTTTGCCATTTGAGTTTTGCTTTGGTCATTATGATCACATTTCCCTCTCCAGAGCCTTTACTAGTGCATATTTTTCTTTGGATAAAGTTTTCAGAGACACACTTAAACAGATATTTGTGTTTAGTTAGAGAAGTATGTTCATGCGCTAGAAGAAGAATTTAGTCATTTGTGGCTAAAACAATGATCCGTAGAACTTTGAGCTTTCATTGAAACTAGAACACAATTGGTGAATATATGTAATGATAATATTTAGAAATTCTACTTTGCCGTTTTATATTAGTGGTCTATTTCATTAAATAATCATGTCACATGGCATATGTTCGCAGTATAATTATCGTGACCCAGGATTTCTCAGTCTCAAGTATAAATCCTCCGTCCTGTTGGCACACAGTGTTTCAGATCACTGGTCAAACCACGTGCCCAAATTTCTGCTCTACTCATAATGGCTTACTTTGTGGGAGCACTGTGCTAATTAGGCTGAGGTCATGCTTTAGCCCTCTTTGGATGCATTAAAGCCATTCTATTCTAAAGCCTTAAAGCCCAAGCATCTACTTCACTGTTTTTTGGTTTTTTTTTTTTTTGAAGTAATCGTTGGGGAACGGGAATGAAGAGAACACTTCAGTCAAGGAAGAAAAAAATATTAGTACAGAAATTAATAATTTCTGTGCTAATCCTGGCTAAGTTTAAGATAGCATTTTTATGACTTAAGAACTGAAAATGGGAGCATTTTATTAAACAGACTAACAACGACTACAGACCTTGGTTTGGAAACGGTTTGAGCATTGACTTAGCTTGTAAAGTCCTCATACGTATTTAGTACATTCACACACTCTGAACGTCTTAGAGACATGGTTTCCAAGTATGTTATTGTTGACTCTTTCAGGAGATTTTGTGCAGTACCGGTGCCACCCCGGGTACACGTTGTCCGGGACTGACACGCTGACCTGCAAGCTCAGTTCCCAGTTGCAGTTCCAGGGTTCTCTCCCAACATGTGAAGGTATGAACCGCTTGATACTACAAATATACTTGTACAACGTGAAAAATGGTATTCCTTGTATCAGTCTGAATTCCTTTGTCTGTATGGGTCTGAATTTAATCTTTACCTGTGTTAGATCCCATTGCAATTAAAATTACCTGCTCACAGAAATATCTAATTACTTTTCTCTTTTAGCTAGCTCTAGAAAAGAAATCAAAGCTGTCATGGCAGAAAACTTTTCCCTCTTCCCTTCTAGGTCCTTTGGCTGGCCTGATAACTAAATTGACATAAGACAGATGAACAGGAGAAAAGCAAATTTAATTTTGTATGTATGGGAGCCCATAAAAGATATGAGACTCAAAGAAATAACCAAACCAGGTGGCTTTTATACCTTTTAGACAAAGAAACAATAAATTTGTGAAGAATTGACAAGATGAAAGGGTTTGGGCTTGGGGTAGTAAATTAGGGAAGAAATAACAAACTTTGTTTATACAGCCTTCTCAGGCTTGAATTCCTTTCTCTGCTGATAAGAATGTCCCTACCTCCTGGTACAGGGTGGGTACCTTTTTCAGGGGGACAAAGGAGGGTCTGAATGTCCTTAATGCACCAGCTGTTTCTCAGGTAACTTTAATTCAAGATAACTAATATGACAAAGTGGCATATTTGGGGTGGCATATTCCTCTCCCCTTCAAAGTCACATCAAATAAGTTGTATTTTTTCCCAACAGTTTATCAGGAAAATTTTTCAAACATATGGGAAAGTTGAAATAATTTGAAAATGAACACTTGAATACTCACCACCTAGATTCCACCATAAATCTTGACTATACTTCCTTTATCACAGGCCTGTCTATTATCTTTCTGTCCATCCATTAATCTATCTGACATTTTGGGTGCATTTCAAGGCAAATTGCAGGCATCACTACACTTCCCTCTAGATACTTCAGCATGCATATAATTAGCCAGTGCTCACTATTTTTTCTATACAATTTATAAACATTGAAATGCACATATATTGTATACCATAAAATGCACACATTTTGTATTTTACATGACTTTAAAATACATGGACCATATGCAATAACATAGACAATATACAATAACAGAACAAAATTAGAGGCTGAATCTACTGTTTCAATTGATTTGAGTATAATTAGATCACTTTTAAAATATCATTTAGAAAGCTCAAGTATGATTGGAAGAAAAAAGACTTGGGAAAAATATAAATAAACTAAAGTGGCTCAATATAAGCTGGAAGTGTCATTGGTTTGCCTATCAAAAAGCTTTCCAAACTAAAGTAGTTTTTATTTCATCACTTTAAAATCACAATGCACGTTTAGTTTCTTTAAAGAATGGGACTCTGTCCTTTCAAAGAATTTGAGTGTTGCCATTCATTAAGGATTGTGAAGCACTCAAAAGGGCCAAAATCTAGGTAGAGAGATCCTGAGTCTCAGTGTAGACTCTGTCAAGTGCCCCTGGGCAAGTCGCTAATCCCAGGACATCACATGTAAGGAGGATCATTTCTCTGGTCTGTTTATGGAATTGTTGTAGAGATTCAGTGACTATGAAGTGAATTCTTATTCTAAGAGTTTTATAATTTTAATTATCTACCTTATAAGAGGCAATTTTCTTTGCATTGCGATAGTACTGATTTTGCAAGTGCTCACACCTGCGAATTGATTCTTTCAGAAGGAAACTCCGTGCATTCTCCTTAGATAATGAGACAGAAGCCCAGTGACCCTGAGAGAGGGGAACAAATTTCAACATCTGAAGAAAATCTGGAATGAATTATCATTAAAGAAGTGTAATAACTTAGATTATTTCTTAAAAAAATTTACTTTCAAATTGTACTTAGATGAGAGCCAGTGGGTGTGGGGAAATTCCACCTTAGAGGCAGAGCCCCCCAGTTGGTGCGCTGGCTGCTGTAAACACAAGCAGGACCCCGCTGCTGTAGGGGTCACTGGAAGTCTGCCTCTATGGTCCCTCACTTGGGTGCTAAGTCAGGACACTGAAGACGTTATTTTCTTGGAAAAATCAGTGTCGGTACCTTGTTATATCAGCAACAATGATCTACTTGTGGATTTTTTTCTCAAGGTAGGAGGTGGATATAAAATGTTCATCATTTGCCATTTTATATAAAAATTAACTGAGCAAATCTTCACATTTTTAAGGCACATTTTAATCCCAAGAAACACAGCCTTAAATTTTTTAGAATGGGTGAATTTAAGCAAAAGTGGTCTTCGTTGATGAGGGAAGAAAGCATGAATATTTATCTAATGAGCTATTTCAAAAACAGAAAATGCCTTTATTGTGTTATTCTCCCAAGATTAACATAAATTTTATTTAAATAAAATTAATTCATGACAATCCAAGAGCAGAGTGAATCAACACAACATGGGCGTCAGCCTCTAAATTACTTTGGCCCATGCACACATTTGTAGGCGGCATTCTGCCAATAGGACCCTTTCTCTCTACTCAGGCCTGAGCTTCCCACCCCCTACTGGGCTACACAGGATGACCCAGTTCTCTTCTGGTTCAGCTCAGGAGTCAATTTGTTTAAAACAAACTAGAGTTACCTTAGAGAGTATCACTCCCTAAACACCTCAATATTTAAAAAAAAGAGGTAGAGACTCAGATGACTTTTATGAAATGCTTAATCCTAAGTGCTTAATTATAATCTTTCTTCCAGTACTTTTCTGTTATTAGATTGATTTGATTGGGCTCAAGTGGGGGCCAACCCCCAATAAATTTTTGATGAAAAATTGTATTTCCTGTCAGTCCCACTTTCCTAATGTCATTGCCACACTTTCAGAAGTTCTGATTTGAATATTATCACCACTTTTAGGGTAATTGATTGTTCCTTGAGAACAATGGAAGTAGTTTATTCCTTGAAAGTTAGCATCTTAGGCAGATTAATGCTTCTTTGTCGGAAATTTATCTTAATTTAAGAAAAGTGAATGAGAATCTGGGATGTTTTCCAACACCACCAAGCAATTTTCCCATTCTCTGCGGACACCAGCTCGGTGTCCTACAACTTAACTCAATTCCGATGCTAACTACCTGATGTTATTGTCAGATCCCACAGGTCAAGGACTCAGTCACACAAGACTGCCCCACTTCAGACACCAATGCAAATCTAGATTGTCGTGTACTTCTGACTGACTGGCGATATAAATCAGAGATTCCCAAGAATCTCTGGGAATATATTTATATCTCCTGGTGATAATAAATCAGAGATTCCCTTCCTCAGTTTCAATCATTTGTTAGAACAGCTCACAAAACTCAGGGAAACATTTACTTAAATCTACCAGTTTATTTTAAAGGATACGGTAAGCGATGCAGATGAACAGCCAGGTGAAGAGGTACCCAGGGCAAGATCTTGAAGGATCCTGAGCACAGGAGCTTCTGTCCCCCTGCAACTGGGAGGCACCGCCCTCCTGGCATGTGGATGCATTCACCAACCTGGAAGGTCATCAAACCTTGTTGTTCAAGAGTTCTTTCTAGTGACCAGCCCCATCCTGAGGCTATCTGGGGGCCTACCCTAAGTCACCTCATTGAAAGAAACTCAGGTGTGATCCCAAGGGCTCCTTATGAATGACAAAAGGTACTCCCATCATGCAGGAAATTCCAAAGGTTTTAGGAGCTCTGTGCCGGGAACCTGGGGCAAAGACCAAATATATTTTACCACAGATGCATATAACAAAAGTAACTTTTCTCATGTTAAGGAAAGAGAAGCATTTCAAAAAGTGCAGAGAAGTAATAACAAAGGTTTTGAAACACAAAAGAGCTCGAAACAGCAGAGGGCAGGAAAGAGGAGCTCACTTCTTGCTGCTTGCCCTTAGGGAGTGTTCGAGGAGGTGGTCTTAAGTGGGCTGGAAACCTGAAGGAGGCCAGAGCTTAAAATGTCTTCAATGCTGGGTAGCTTCATCCTACAGACAATGGGAATCCATCAATGATTCTTAAAATATTCATTTTCAAAAAAAATAGAAACATCTATTTTCAATGATGGTAAAGACAATCAGTAACTTTCTGGTGATGACCACTCCTTGTGAAACACAGCTGACCAGTGCCGCTTCTGCAGGAGCAGGACAGCAACACGCTTCTCAAGGGCTCCCAGGGGCAGCCCTCCCACCTGTGTGCAGAGCCCTCACTCGTCACACCTATAGGTATGATGCTCTCATACCTGTAGGTGCTTTTAAGAATTAACCTTAACTATAAATCCTAATATTTGACTATGTTACTTTTGCTGAAGGCCTGGAGGCTGCATTAAATAATATGCTTTGGGTTTGAAGCCTCCCATTTGACTTTTCTTCAAAAATAAGCTAAAGGAATAACTTTGTGCAGAGGTGTGGCGACTGGAATCTCAAGTGGCAAGTTCCTTCAGAGGTGTCTTTGACAAGAACCTCAGCAGATGCTTCCCGTGGCAGGTGGTCTGTGCTCTTCCTCCCTGGAGACGCAGGGTGTTCTTAGCGTGTGAGTGCCAAGAGGAACCGAGGAACAAATGGCTTGTCTCTAGGGACGCCGGCTCGCTTCGAACCTTCCCGCTGAGTGGGCGTTGCTCCTAGCAACAATTTAGAGCAACGAACCTGAAGAAACAGGCAATTAAGAAACAGCAAGAGAAAGGAAAGAATCCAAACACTCTAGCTCGCAGGAGACATGCTCAAGAGCGTTTTTAAGACAATGTGTATGTCTGAAAAAAATGCTACGTGTTGCACGAAAATGATACGAATAACTTCTCTAATATTTTCATTTCGTCTTCTCTAACAAAACAGAAACAGCATTTTAAAAATGGAAGGAATACGAACAGCTCTGCTTAAGATTCTGCCCTGATTTATACTCACTGCCCTGCTCTCAAACCCTGCCGTGTGCTAACTGCTCTCCAAGTGGATTTCAGCACCTCGGTAGGGGGTTTCCTATTTCCAGATGGTCTGACCTTCCGGGGCCATCTAGTCGCTATCACGGCAGGGATACAATTACAGGGCAGAGAGAGGGGCTAAATAGTTCTGTGTAATACCCCAAAGTGAAATGTGCTCTGGTAGCATCTTTATGTCAGGAAAAGGCAGGCACGCGTTCCAACCATCCCAGTCCTTGTTACACCTTCTGCCCCACACAGTGCTTTAGATTGAAGAAAACGTTTGCTTATATTTGATCTAATTACGACCCTGAAGGGTAGCTGTTATTGCCGTCTGGCTCTTACTGCAAAGTCATGGCCGCTCTGTGGAGACTTGAAAACTCCAGGCCCTGCACAGATGCACACAGACATAAACTCTAATTTTTACTGTGTTCTTTTGAAAAATTTCAACGTGCTCATTTTGGAGAGGGCATAATATATTTTACAGAGAGATCTTACCATCATCACAGGAGAAAATACTTTTTAAACTAAGTTGTTTTAGTCTGCGTACTTTGGTTTGAACTATTTTTTATATTACTTGCCATTAATTAATATTGTAAATATTCTTAAAATTTACCTAAAATACATGTTTATTAAAAGGGTTCTATGAAATGTTTCGTCTTTGGTGGTCTTGCACCTAAATATTTTCTAAATTTTAAGATATAGCTCAATTAGAATACTAAGATAAATCAAATAAAATAGAGAGCAAATTACCTTTTGACAGACAATTACTTAAATCAAAACATGTTACATAAGCTTTACTCATCTGTTTGGGAAATGTCTTTATTTTGAAATGTATGTACTAATAATACACATTTGCTTAATTAAAAGGAGGACAAATAAGACACATTTCCTTTGACAAATCTTTTTCATTAAGGAAAAGCTTATCATTTAACTTTTTAAAGGTTCATAAATAGTTTCAGTACATCTCTATTTTTGAACTGCCAATAATAGAAATAATTTTTTCTTAATAGTTCTATAAACAAACTATTTCTGGAAGGTAATTTAGTTTACCAATGAAAGAAATGACTGACTGAGAGACTCTGGTGATTTTCCTTTTGCATGTTCAATCCTATGCAGATTGGTTTTATTTTGATTAACCTGGAAGTGGTTGAATAAGGATACAAAGAAAGCAGGAGGGGGAAGGTGTGCCGAGGTGTCCTCACTGTCTTAATTCATCACTGTAAACTCCACCATCAGAAATCCCTGCTCCTACTTTACCTGGGAGAAACCCAGGGCTCCAGGGTGGCTCTGAGCCCAGGTCTCTGACTTCTCTCTTACCAGAGTCCCAAGCAATCACATCAAATTTGAAATTTACTATTCTAAATATAATTAAAAGTATAGTCAGAGGCAGAAATAAATACGAGTTTTCTTTTGTTGCAAAAAATTCGGCAATATTTTTGCAATGTTGCATTGAACAGATGAGGTCTCACTTTTTAGTTGAGTTGGGAAAACTTGGATACCTATGGTCAAATTCGCAGTGCACCTGCCCTAAATTAAGGTGTGTGGACCTTCCAGTCATAGATACCCACTATGGAGCAAAAGACACATGATGGTATTAACTGTTCCTACATCCATAGTTCCTGCTTTGCTCGCAAAGGACAGATGAGCAGGAGCAAGTCCATTGCTTCGCTACTTATTCCAGATAAAGAAAACTTTCAGATTCGATGTTTCTTCTCAGTTTAGCAGCTACATCATAACTGGGTTTCCTAAGAGTTAAATAGAATCCATCTATCTGTCTACCTCGTCTATCTATCTACCTAATCACCCTAAATATCAACACATATATATTGTATATATATAATTCTCTTTTAAATTACAGGGTGGTATTAAGATGTTACTCACTATGACTCAATGTTGCTTTGCTGCTGTGTTTGTATCGTGTGCTAAATTCAGTCATAGCTCCGTAGGATGGCTTAATCTTTCCATTGGCTTGTATATGCAAGGATAGTGACTATCCTGCTTAAGTCCGATTCATTTTATTAAGGCAAACTTTTTCCGGTATTTTTCTCATCAGCGCAATGCCCAGCAAATGAAATCCGGACAGAATCTTCTGGAGCTATCCTCAGTCCAGGTTATCCAGGCAACTATTTTAACTCCCAGACGTGCTCGTGGACTATTAAAGTGGACCCAAACTATAACATCACCATCTTCGTGGATACATTTCAAAGTGAAAAGCAGTTTGATTCACTAGAAGTATTTGATGGTAAGTTTCTTTAATCTCTGTTTACGTACCAGTGACCTAGACACACCGTAACAGAGACACCATTATAATGTTTTTGTAACACAGGAGCTTGAATGTATTCTTGAGGCAAAGTACATCTTCCCCAAACAGAAAACGAATTATTCTTGGACTCCTGTGGTCTCAGAGATCAAGTAGCCTGTAAAGCATTACTATTAACATACTGTTGTTAACTTTACGACTTAGTGATGTGCTCTGAAATGTGCTGAATTTACTTGAGCCATTCTTTAATTCTAAGGCAGGGTTTTTAGAGTAGATGATCTCTAAAAGCTTTTGCTTTCTCTCGTTCTAAGTATTTTATAGATTCAGAAGCTATTTTAGGAAACTTAAGAGGCCTAAAAGTACTTTATTCCATCTAAATGATTATTTTACTAGAAATGTATAAAAATGATAGCTCACAGAGATTGCTAGATGATAAATGCTGTAGGAGTTTTTAATGTACAATTTTCTTCGAATAGTGAAATACGGTTAACTGGACAAATGCTAATACTGTTTTCAACATTAGCCTTATACAGTTTTATACAATTCTAATGAACTTTTTAATATAACACTGCTATGCTTAGAAGAAGTATGTGGTTGAATTGTCAGTTTAAAATGGAACCACTGTTAATGTGTTTCTTTGTATAGAAGCGTTATCATACCCAGAAAATAAGACCAAGATATAATTACAACTGTACGTAATAGCAGGGTTTTTCACATTTTGATGGATTTGTCATTGAGTTCAAATAAATAACAATCAATCCAGTGGGGAAAAAAAATACTGTAATTGATTTTATGTATGTTTGTCTACCTTTTACTGACTCGATGAATCCTAACAGTCAAATCACTCATATGGATACACCACAATCAATTTATATATTTCCAAAGATGAACTCCCAAATTGGGAATTAAACTCACATTTATACACATAGAAACAGGGCTGAAGAGCAATTTCATTTTCAGAGTGTTTTTTCTTTTCGGTGTATGTTAAAACACACACACACTATTGAAGACTTTCCCCTTAGTCTTTAAGAGAAAAATAATTCATTAGCTGAGCACACAAATGGGCTTCTCATGTCAGTGAGGAACCAGGTAATCTCTATCCTGAGGGCAATGAGGCATCATAAATTAAAAAGGCAAGCAGCCAACCCCAGGGGCTGTGTGTGTGTGTGTTTGTATGTATATGCATACATACTCCTATGCCCACTGTATATAATTAAATGTGTTTGAATAATTAATTTAAATTTATGCGTGATCCTTTGTTTCACCTTAGCTGATTTGGAATTTAGCTGGCAGCACTTCTACTTCTTCTAATTTCAGGAGCAAAATCATTAAAAATAATTTCTGCCCTAAGTGCTTACAGCTTGATCTCCCAAAAATACAGACGGCTCACACCCATTATAAATAACAAGCAAAGTAGATAATAGAGACATGTCAAAGCAGCTGCTGTTACAGTTATCAGAGGTCTGTGACTAGGTTTGTTCTCATCTCAAAGATTTTTCCATAAAATGAAAGGTCAAAGTTTTATATGAATAATTCTTTTAAGGTTTGGCATTTTTGTTGCAGTAAATGTCATGTTCATTGCATCTCTTCTTTTTGTAAGACAGTGGCTCTTTTATAGCTCATGAGTTGACCAAAAAACATGTTGAATATATTGATTTTAAACTTTATTAGCCCAGGAGTATATTAATTCCTATGGCTCCAGTTGTGGGCATTCCTCAATTAAAAATAATAGGATTTTACTCACTGTAGAACTCAGCTGAGAAAGGGTCGACATAAAGACTATGGTGTTCACTTGTAAAGTACGCGACAGTTTCCATCTTGCTAACAGCAATTGCTGCTCTCCATAGGGCTCTGCTACTTCTCTACACGGGCCGAACTGGATGCATATTTTTAAAGAATAGTCCTGTAGGAAGTTTGTCGCATATTAGGCAAAGAGAACAATGGACAGTGATGAAGCATTAGATGTTGGATTAAGCATACCTGAAACTCTACTCTTGAGTTCTGTCGTGAAGAATGACATTTTTCAATTTCACAAATTCAGGTTAATTAATTTCTCTGTGGCATGTTATTTTAGAGTACACATGATCTCTTTAGACAACAACAACAACAAGTAAACCAGCACACAAAACGCAGGACGGTCTCCTTCCGTTCTGAAATAACAGTCGTCCTCTTACAGGACGTCTTCCAGGAAACTGACCCAAGGCCATCGTTCACGATAAGACGTAGCATTTCTTCTGATCCTTCCTCGCTCTGACTAAAGTGAACACTGCCTCGATCAGCCCTAATATGCTGGACTTCGTATGTCTTTACTAGGGCTGCCATAACAAAGTACCACAAACCAGTGGGTTTAAACAGCCGGCGTTTACTTTCTGATGGTTCTAGAAGTTAGAAGTCCGAGATCAAGACGTCAGCAGGGCTGGTCTCTCCTGAGCCTCTCTCCTGGACTTGCAGACCGCTGCCTTCTTGCTGTGTCCTCACGTGGCCGTCCTTTCTGTGAATCTCTGTGTCCTAATCTCTTCTTATAAGGATCCCAGTCATATTGGATGAGGGCCCACCCTAATGACCTCACTTTGCCCTAATTATCTCCTTAAAGACCCTACTCCAAATACAGTCCCATTCCCAGGTATCGAAGGTTAGGACTTCACCATGTGAATTTGAGGGGACACACTTCAGTCCATAATAGTTTTATTTGGAAAAATCATTAGAACAGCTCTGATTGGGAGTTGCACAAGGAATGAAGTTGTGGTTTCTCCATCTCTAAGTTGTGGTTTCCCAATCTCTTTGCATGAATAAAAATTCTACATGCAACTCTCAAAGACAAGTGTCACTCAACCTGATACAATTGGTAATACATCACAAATGGGAACCACAATCTCCCACTCACACTTTGTTTCCTGAGTGTGAACTATGCAAGCAGAAAAGCCACGAAGGCTTTTAGACTGTGACATGGCGCTGAGTTCACCAACAGAGCAGTGTCTCAGATGAAACCCGCATGGAAGTGTGAATGTGGCTTGTGTATTCAGTGAAGCCGTTTCTCTTATTAAACAACATCAAGGTGTGGGGACGAGAATGATGTTAGTTGACTATACGCTGCACCGGTTTTCATTAACTATACATCAACTATTACCCTTTCTAGATTTTTAAAAATTTCAAATGGACAGAAAGGTGAAAAAATGAAAACTACAGATATGAACTCATTACTTGATGGAATGAATTTTAGGATTTTGTCAAAATTGCCTTTGGCTCTGTTTTTTTAAAGAAGCAAGGAATACAATAAATTTTAGGGGCTCTACCCATACCCAATTCTCTTTGCACTTCTCCCAAAGGGAATTAGTATTGTGAAGTGGGAGTTGGTGTGTCAGGCCTGTGCATGTTTTTATAATTCATTCTCTATCTATCATCTATCCATCATCTGTCACCTATCTATCTATGTTATCATATCTATCCATCCATTATCTATCCATCCATCATCTATATATCTATCATCATCTCCTATCTACACACACACACACACATAATTTATATAATACACGCTTTTTAATTTTTACACAATTGCTATCACTCATATTTACCTGCAAATAGATTTCTTCAGTTGTCAGTATGCTGTTTTAAGAATGACCTATCCTGACATATGTTTGTCCAATTCATTAATTTTAAATGCTGTATAGAATTCTTTTTCATGGCACTTATAATTCTTTTTTTTATTTTGTGAGGAAGGTCAGCCCTGAGCTAACATCTGTTGCCAATCTTCTTCTTTTTGCTTGAGGAAGATTGTCGTTGAGCTAACATCTGTGCCAGTCTTCCTCTATTTTGTGTGAGATGCTGCCACGGTGTGGCTTGACAAACAGTGCTAGGTCCGCGCCTGAGATCTGAACCTGAGCATCTAGGGCCGCCGAGGCAGAGTGCATGAACTTAACCATTACGTCCCTGGGCCAGCCCCTCAATTCTTTTTTAAAACTCCAGACTACTAGTTAGGATCTAAATTTTGCCGAAAGTAACCGTACTGGAATAAACATTTTGCGACATAAATAACACCATGCACATGTGCTGGAGTTTACAGAAACATAATTAAAGCTTCACTTTTACTGGATATTACCAAATTGCACTCCAAAGTGATTATACTAATTTGTACTTCCACCAATATTGCATGAAAGTTTCCATTTCCCCATATCCGTACCATGTTGTAAATACTAGTACTAATAAAAATGACTTCCATTTTCTCAGTTACTGCCGTTTTGTAGGAAAGTTTCATTTGATTTAAGTATTATGTGTTAATAGCATGTATATCTGAAATTATTTTGGTTGGCTGTTTTTTTAATCAGGGAATATAGTATTTATTGCTTTATTCATTTGGAACTTTTTGACTACTTTGGAGATAAATAGCTGTGTATTGTGCATTTAGACTCCAATTTAATTAACAGCTAAAAGTGGTCTGCATTCTGTAGGCGCTAACTCCTAGCTGGGTGTTTCGTTTTTCTGTTTGTTTAGGTTCTTCCGGTCAGAGTCCTCTGTTAGTGGTCTTAAGTGGGAACCATACTGAGCAATCAAATTTTACAAGCAAGAGCCATCAGTTATATCTCCGCTGGTCCACCGATCACGCAACCAGTAAAAAAGGATTCAAGATTCGTTATACCGGTGAGTAAGTGAGGTTTAGATTTAATATCAAAGTGTTTTAAATACAAGTGATTTGCATTAAATAAAAAATGTTAAATAGAGATTTATAATATGAACCTAATTTCTGAAAAAGAATAATTAACTTCAATAGAAATAATATGATGGGAAATTACTCTGAGTGATATCTCTAAACTATGTTAGGGAAAATAAACTATTTGTTGACTAATATTTTAAAAATTTTTGTTAAAATCATAAGTCATTGAATTGCACACCATGGAAAACAAAGACATTTCCCAAAAGACAAAGTAGTATGATATAGATTAATTTTAAAATATATTTAAATGCTAATGAAGCAAACAGGAAGAGATAATTATATTACTAGCTATTAATTTTATGTGATAATAATCTCTTATTAGTAATAGTACATCATCTTATTGATTATCTATCCATATGTCTATTTATCTTTATATACACACACTCTATATGTATATATATATATACACACACACACACAAAGTAAATATGTTTATATATATTTTCTTATGAACATTTAAATTATTTTGTCCTTTCCCCATATAGTTTAATCATTCCCTTCCACTAGTTATTTTTTTCAATTAAATCAGTCAATACATTTATGATATATTAGATCCCATGTATGTTTGTCAATATGACCTGACTCACACCTCATGTTAATACTGCCTTACAAAAGCAGTAGACAGACAATTTAAATTCCTGAGATATTTTAATTAGTAAGCAAAAAATCTAAACTTTTCTCAATTTTTCACTCAATAGTGTCCAATGGTATCAATGAGGATGTATTTCTCTAAGGAAGATGCCTGTTGTATACATTTAATTGAACAGTGCATCTTACAGAAGATTTTTTATTCCTGTGTCTGTGTTTTGCATCGTCAGTGATGAGGGACATCCTGAGGGAGGAACAGGAAAAAGTCCTAGGTGCTTTAAGAACAAGATTTTAGCTCTCTCCAGTGGGTCGACGTTGGGAAATGGTAACAAACATCAAGGTTCTGAAAAGGCTCTTGATGTGAGGCCACGGGCATCCAATTCAGTCATTCTTCCTCTGTAAAGTTTAATAAAATATACCAGACCTTTGGGTTTTTTGCTCTTCTCTCAAGGTAGCCATTCCAAAAGCTTATCAACAAAGCACTTACAGTTGAAATTGCTTCCATCAGAATGACTTACGAGAGCATGAGGGCAATGATTGGATTTGTGTTCCTCAAAATCCTTGTGTTCTGAAAAATAAATACTCAGATCTTTAGAATGGTTTGAATTTGTTTCCAGTGTGCAAAAATGGACGGTGCAGGGGAAATCATGGTGAACATAATTTATCTCGTTTTATTGGTGGCAAATTACTTAGTAGCCTGGTCATATGATTATACCTGCAATTCTGTCTTTCAAAGGATATTTTCATTCATCATAGAGCAAGAAGATTCTCTTTGTTAAACTGTGCTGGGAAAGTAGGAAAATGGAGAATTTCAGAGAAGGCAGTACACGTTTATGTTTTGTCAGTATATCTATCTGTCTAGATACCGATATAAATAATCTTTGAACGGATTTTCACTTATAATTCAGTGATTCAGGAACGTCTACTAGGAGTTGCTCACCAGTAAGTTTAGAGCAGTGATTGAATGACAGGCTCCCTGAAATGTAACAATGTAACAATGTGTCCAAAGGAGCGCCAGCCCATAATATGACCACATGCTGCATCCAACCTTCATTTGCCTTCCACATGGGAATTACGGGTCATCCAGGCATAAAAGCAATATAGTCAATCAATGTAATTGAAAAATGTAAATAAAGAGACAAAGCTAGTGCCTCCCCCATGGTGGTTCTAGTGAATTCAGTAAACTGTGCTATGTGAACGTTGAGCTAGTAACGTCCTTCCAACACTCCATGAAGTATAGGTGAGTTCCAGGATTGGGAGAGTCCAAAATACAGACTGGGCAGACCCACACCTGGAAATTCCAAGATGTCTCACTCTCCCAGCGGTCTCCCATCATGGATGCCCACTTGACTGTCCTCCTACACCCCTGCTTTTCCAAGGCTCCACCAGCAGAGTTTAAGGATTGGATACTGGTTCTCTTAATTCTTACAACAGCCAGGGATGCAACAGGGGGGGACCCTGTGTTCCAATCATCCCATTTCCTTTCATGCTATTCCGCCTCTGGACCCCTCAACATCTTGTTTTAGGCCAGACAGGAAAGACGAGATATCTTGAGAGCCTGTTGAAGAAGAAATACGGTAAATACGAAAGAAAACAGACAGTATCCCACTCCGTGGAGTCAGGCTCCCATGTGGCAGATTACATCCCTTGACAGACTGAACTAGGACAGAAATCACAGGTGACACCCAGGAACTGTGGTCTCACTGCCCCTTCAAGCGTCGTTCCGACTTTCTCTTGTCTCTAACTTCACCGTCTTCTCCTTCTCCCTACTTTTCTTTCTCTCTCTCTCTCTTTTTTTACAGTAGCACAATGATTCTGGGCAGTTGACAGCCAGGGTGCCTGATTATATTCATACCTTCCCTAAACTAAATATTTTGGTTCATTCGAAACTTCCAAAATAATCTAGAACAGCTGCATGAAGAAAATACCATGGCAAACAGGCCCTGAATCAAGACCTTCTTGCAACAGTTAGTAGATTTTAACTTAGTAAAAATCAGTTCTATTTTTTTTTAATGAAATGGTGCTTCAGAAGCTCATCCAGCTGAGACTAGTCTCTGAGGATGCCTCTCCCAGGAAGGTAGTTGAACGTTGAGGCCAGACTCAACAGACATGGCTTCTGGGCAGTGCTGTGATTTGAAACCTTGAGAAAGTTTCTTCCGAGCTGATTTCTAAGGAAAGGTTCAAGCTTAAGCATTCAGACCTGTGTGCATGTGCTGTGTACATGGCGCCCCCACGGGGAAGCGCTTCATTTAAAACCTCTTCTTTCGAGAGGGACCGCAAACTTCCAGTACTTCACAACTCTCTTTACTTTATTGTTTTAATTCATCTGAAAGGAGCTCATAGGATTTTATGCTGCAATGAAACTGGTCTTGCAAGAACAAAATGGGTTTCTTTCTCTAAATGTATAAATAAGATGCAGAGCCTTTTAGCCATGGAAATGTTATATTCTGGGTAGGTAAGACTGTGTTGTTTTAACTAATGCCTGTCTGTAATTTTAAAAAGTCTCCCTACAAAGGCGATGATTAAAGCTATTGTAAGAGTTTTATTGAACGGAGGTAGTGCATTTTCTTCAGAGAGCCTATTTAAATCCCATATGGTAGAAAGAAGTTTAATGTCTACATCATTGTTCATTTCACAGCGCCCACTTAGCAGCAACAGGGAAAAGTTAACGGCCTTGGTTGCCAAGGGTTGTCTTCTCCTATTGTCTCCATTTTAATGATACTTTTTTTTCTAGCGTTGAGAATTTTTTGGTTTCAAATATGGTGTCCAGAGGAGGACCTCAGCGTTTCTTATTCTGGTGATGGGTAGACTTGTTTTAGTGGGTAACCAGCCTTAGAGAAATGAGTGGGGGGATTCGCTATGATCTTAGGTATTTCTTTACAATATTTTAGTCAGAAAGTCTGGATGCCACATTCACATGATTAACATTTATGGGTAATCTACGCTTCAAACTAAGAGACTTGACTGCTGGTTTTAGATTTTTTGGATGCCTTTTTTCCAGACTTTAATTTTTCAGAGAAATTTTGTGTTCATAGCAGAGTTGAGAAGGAGATGCAGAGATTTCCCAAATACTCCCTCCCCCCACACATGCAGAGCCTCCCCCAATATCAACATCCCCACTAGAGTGGTCCATTTGTTACCATCCATGAAACTACATTCACTCATTATAATTACCCAGAGTCATAGTTTACATTACGGTTCACTTTTGGTGTTGTAGCTTCTATGGGTTTGGACAAATGGATAATAATGTGTATCCAGCATTACAGTACCATACAGAGTATTTTCACTGCCCTAAAAATCCTCTGTGCTCCACTTAGCCATCCGTCTGGAACCTAACCCCAGGCAATCTCTGATCTCTTTAATGTCTCCATAGTTTTGCCTTTTCCAGAATGTCACATAGTTGGAATCGTACAGTATGTAGCCTTTTCAGATTGACTTCTTTCACTTAGTTATATGCATTTGAGGTTCCTCCATGTCTTCATGGCTTGAGAGCTCATTTCTTGTTGGCACTGAATAATATTCCTTTGCTGCATGGAACAAAGTTTACTTATCCGCTCACCTACTGAAGGGCATTTTGGTTGCTTCCAAGTTTTGGCAATTATGAATAAAACTGCTATAAACATGCATATGCATGTTTTTGCGTGATCATAAGTTTTCAGCTCCTTCGGGTAAATACCAACGAGCATGATTGCTGGATTATATGGTAAAAGGATGTTTAGTTTTGTAAGAAACTGCCACACTGTCTTTCAAAGTGGCTGCACCATTTTGCATTCCCCCCAGCAATGAACGAGAGTTGCTATAGCTCCACATCCTCAGCTGCATTTTGGGATGCTTTTTAGAATAAGTTTACAAACTGGTGTGGTTTCCCACTATTTCAACAATAGAGATATTTCATTTGTATCACTCTTACCAAAGGAAATGCAGCAGTCATTTATTTATTTGTTTATTTATTTATTTGTGTTTGTGTGCCCATAGCACCTTACTGCAGCTTGACCCACACCCTGAAGAATGGCGGTGTTTTAAATAGGACCACAGGTGCAGTTGGAAGTAAAGTGCATTATTTTTGCAAGCCTGGATATCGAATGATCGGCCACAGCAACGCAACCTGTCGACGGAACCCAGTTGGCATGTATCAGTGGGACTCCCTTACTCCCATGTGCCAGGGTAAGAAATACGTTTTTTCATCCTTGAACTTGAATTCAATTTATTTTTCTTGTTTTATTCACACTGAAAATTTCTGCAGCAGTGACTATAGGTAAAAGGCAAGGAAAAATTGAATGTGGGTTTATAAAAGTACAAATTACACTTTCCACCAGCCATGCAAACAGTTGTGACATTTACACTAGTCTTGATTCAGCTTCAGAGCCTGAATTCAGAAGTTGGTTAAACATCCACTAGATCCTGGGTAGAGTTATTCTAATGCTTACCTGCATTTCATTTTGAAGTAAGAAATGTTTATCCAATTTAGATTCAAAGTAATTTTTCTTGACTGTTGTATTAATTTAAAAAATCAATTACTAAACTCATTTTTCTTATTTTAGATTAAAAATTCATTCTTTAGCCATACCCTGTATATTTCTTTTTCTTTTGATCATTTAAATCCAGGGCTTGTTAAAGTTAATTTCAATATTTCATGTGGGGTTTTTGTTTTTTGCATTTTATTTGTCATATGCATAAAAATCAGATTTTCAAATAAGGCATTTTAATTTTAATTGAAGGCTTTGAAATCACAAAATTTTCATAGTTTTGTTTATTGAAATTTATAGTCATAATGAAATATATTGGTCTTTGAAAGCTAATTATGATTTATGAATGGGACCTCATATTGGTTTCCTTTTTTCATTAGATATTAGATTTTCTGATATTGCTCTCTATGAGACAATATAGATATTTATCACGCTTATTGTATCTGTCTTTAACCACAAGAAGTTAATCAGACACTTAGCTTGCATTATTTACGTTCTACCTCCAGAAATTTTTCTTTGGTGTAAGATAAACATAAAGACCCAATAAGCTTGTTTTATTAGGAATGATGATTTTTCTTTAAGACCAGAGGACTTCTTCTTTCAAAGGAAGAAATGCTTCTCATTTTCTTTAAGTGTTTTGCTGCTCTCTGTTTGTGACATAAAATCTGTTGCTCAGAGAGCAGCCCCATGGGCTGTGTTGTTGGCATTGGGAACAGAATGCCAGTGACAGAAGTAATGACCAGCAACCTAGACAAGGAAAAGGATGAGAGCAGATCTGGCGAAAGCTCCCAAATCACAACCTCTAGAGGCCGAGTCACAAAATAGAGCCTAAACGGAATGTGTTCTCAAGGTAGAAGCACAAAACCATACTGGATCTAAAAGCCCCTCCTGTGAGGAGGAGGACACGTGAGAAGTGAGGACCGGGCAGATGTGGACTATTTTCCTGATAGGGGAGGTGTTCTGAGAGTCCTTACCTAGATGGAGAAGCACCTGGATCTTCAATGAATGCTTAGGAAGAGATAAAAGGATGCCCAGGACATGTTTCCTTGATACGTTTTGACCTCTCTCTGTTCCCATTTTCTCCCCCAGCAGAACTGTTTAATGCTGAATTAAATGACTCAGAAATAGAGATAGTGCACTAAAACCAGATCCTTCTGAAATCTTTGCAGTTGTGGCTGAGGAATTTGAGTGAACGTAATCAATGTATCTCGTCTTCGTGTTAAACACCACCCAAAAGCAACGGCATTATGGACGTGGCGCATTTCTTTTTGTTACTTATAGAACGCAAAACTGTTACATAATATACTTACTTAACTCATAGAAAGCCATTGGCCTCATTTGATACAGCCAGGAAGAGGCTCTGTGGATTTTCAATTCCTCTCCTGGTAGTAATCGTCTACCCTGTGTCATGTATTTGATTAAGACTCTCCTATCGATTCATAACTGTGTTGAGTGTTTGCATGTGCTGGGTTGTGGGGAAACAAAATGAATGAGACTTATTTCTTCCTTTCAGAGATTCACAGTCTAACCATGAAGAAAGAATTATAAATTATAATAACTGCCATCATGGATACCATGACAGAATGCATAGTTAGACACGAGACTGTATATAATTAATTAAAAACATCCTCCTTCAGGTGCAAAGAGAACTCTTCTCAGAGAAAGGCTTCTAAAAAAATATAATCAAAGAAAATTTATCAAAGACTGTAATTTCAAAAACATTTTCGAGGCTAAATTTGAAAACATTTTAAAAATAAGAGGATGCTGTGATTATCATAGATTTATTGATATTTTCCTTCAGTGTTAAAATACAAATATTAAGGGAAACCTATTTTCTGTTTGGCTGTTGGTGTCTTTATTTATAATTTAAATTTACAGTGGGAGGTATATTGTACTTAGGGAATTTTTCATTTTTAATTTTAGGATAATTTCAGGGTTTTTTTTTTTAACTAATATTTTGTCCAAAGAGAGTTAGAATATAGAGATGCATTTTCACCATCTAGTGGTCCCGAATTACTGACTGTTCACAACTGTAGGCTATGAAATTAAAGATTGGGTGAACTCTTTCCTTAAAATGCTTGAAATTCTGTAAGGGAAAAAACATTTTGCAACCACGTCAGCTAAATGCATAAAAATCAGACTATTCCCACTCAAATCAGCACAGAAGTCCTTCGTGATTTTATTTTTGCTCCAAGATATTACATTTACATTAGGTATAGAACTGGGAAATGAGAATTGCCATGTAGCACATTTATAGAAGTTAAGGTGTAAGTGTTTAACTCTGAAACCTATGGACTTCAAAGACACTGTTTCAAAAATTAAAGTAGATATCAGGTGTGCATTAATGGAGAAAGTATACTCTGTATGATCTCTTAGCACATTTGCTTTTATATACCTTCATATAGAGGCAAAGTGACATTAATCTTGTGTCTATGTTTGTAGACTAGGTTGTAGTTGTAGGTTTAAAAGCTAATGCACGTGTGAAGGAAAATACACGTTTTTGTTTCCGTTCAAACTTATCTCTGAATTCTGCACTGAATAAGACAGTCCCAACTCTTAAAGCTCTGAAGGTCTGGGGGCAGAGATAGATTTATAGATCCATAGTTATAGTTTGATATGACATTAAGCAAGAGCAGAGACCATTGAGTAGAAGGTCGGGGATGGTTCTCCCATGTTGGGACACCTGAGATGGAATTTGAAGGGGGACGAGTAATGGGAAAAGGGTTTGGAGCAGAGGGCAGGGGTCTGTCATGGAAGAGAACCATCTGGAGCAGTATGGAAGACCCTAACTGCAAGTTTATGGAGCTTTCACTTTCTCTCCTGTGGTTGATGTCAACGGATTAAAGAGCAAAAAAGATACAGTCGTGTCTGCTTGAGAAAGCCAGATCTTCCAGTGACGTGGTGGATGCTTGGACAGAATACTGTCTGGACCACAGACTTAGGAGACTATAGAAATGTGTGTTGGAGCAATGAGGAAAATCTTGATAAATACAGCGAGAATAGCTTTGTAAGAAAATAAATGTGAAAAGTATTTAGGAAATGCAATCCACAGGCCCTTGTGATAGCACGTAAAGAGTTAGGCAGAGAGAGAAATCTGGGATGACACACGGTTCTTGGTTTCGATTGCTGGGAGTGTGATGGTACTGCTCACGGACATACAGACGCTGTGAGAGAAGCAGGCTGACGAAATCTGTTTTGACCTGCCATCCTCCAGGTACCGCTGGGAAAGCAGTGTCCAGGAGAGATTCTGGGGCTGAGAGAAGATGAAGTTTTTAAAATCATCAGTGAGAGGCTGGCCCAGTGGCGCAGTGGTTAAGTTCGCACGTTCCGCTTCTCAGTGGCCTGGGGTTTGCAGGTTCGGATCCCAGGTGCGGACATGGCACCACTTGGCACGCCATGCTGTGGCAGGCGTCCCACATAGAAAGTAGAGGAAGACGGGCATGGATGTTAGCTCAGGGCCAGTCTTCCTCAGCAAAAAAAGAGGAGGACTGGCAGTAGTCAGCTCAGGGCTAATCTTCCTCAAAAAATAAATTAAATAAATAAATAAATAAAATCATCAGTAAGAAGGCTGTTGTTTAAATTAGTTTAAGATACTGAGTACATCACCATTTGTCATGAGAGGAGAGTTTACTATGTAGATTCTATAAGGACCAAATCAAGTGAATAAAATTGTAATTTTGTTAAAAAATACTGTCTGCTGCAGTAAATTTCAAACTAAACAGCTCTACCACAAAAGAAGTGATATCTGAGAACTTCTACAGTGTTTTGACAGCAGCTCAAAAGCAACTATAAAGCCTGCAGTCCATCCTGTGGGGGTAATTGGGAATTTAATCACTGATGCAAATGTTGAAGTATTTTACAACTTTGACCAAACTCAGAGGTCATCGCAATTATTTTAATTCTTTTTGTTTTAAAGCTGGGCACTGGAAAAAGGGAAAACATAAATAATAAACAAATAAATAAATAGACAAATTGTCTCTTTGTGGCACTGGGAGCCTAATAGTTAATATTTATTTAATATATTTGTACATTTAATATATATTTAATATTTCAATGTATTATTTCATAATTTAATTATCCTTTTTGAGTTGATATTATACTTTCTCAAATATTTGAAGAATTTTCCCTTTAATCTTACAGAAGAACAAGTACAATTTATACATTTTCTAGCTGCTTTAGGATGTCAGTCTTTCTTTTTAAAAAATTGCCTAGAATAATATTTTAAAATGTTTACTAAAAATGCAACATTTGCCTTTTAATAAATGAGCAAGGTCAAAACTAGAAGTTTTGAGATCTTTTCCTTTTGGGCCCCCAGCTGCTAATCATGGAACAGCGTCTGTGCTGCGGTCCCCAGGCCCCCCATAAAACACCCTGTCCTTTGTAGCATTTGGTAAATATTTTGATTGAAAAAAACCCCCATAAATCTATGACTTTCTAAGACATGCATTTGGGAATGATTTTTTTCTTTTAAAGATGATTTATCTTGCACCAGAATCTGCTTTGTTCTCTCATTTTTATTGACTTTTTGCCGGTGGCGTCTTAGAAGCACAGAATTTTGAGAGAGAAAAAAAGTCACCTGACAGTCATGGAGTCGTGACTTCCCTAAACCTGTGTCCTGCCATGTAAAACAGGAATTTGGATATCTAGCTCTCAGGGGTGCTGAGAGGATTACAGAAATAACTTAGAGGAAAGGTTCCG